ACGTCGAACCGTTTTTGAGATAGAGGGCGCAGAGTGTGGAGCGCTCAGCCATACGTACCTTTAGCGCAAGGTAAATCGTGAATCCCAATCTATTATACCGTTTTTTTTAATTAATTATATAATAAATATTACTAAAATAAAAATTTAATAATAATATAATATATATAATAATATATTTATATTTCTTTTAAATCAAATATATTTTATCTTCATATAAGTATATCTTATATTTTAATTTAATTTTAATGAAGGATAATTGAATCGGAGTAGGAAAAAATATTTTTATTTATATCAATATTATTATTATTATTAATCTTTATCTTCTTCATCCTCGTCTTCTTCAGGTTGGCCAGCAATTTCAGACTCATTTTCATCATCATTCTCCTCATCATTGACATTAATTGTCATATCTTCAAAAACTTACTTATAACGCGTTTGTACTTTGCAGATTTTTTGCCTTTGTTGCCTCATCTGCGACTACACAACACTCCCTTTTTTACGAGGTACAGTTGATGACGTTGAAGGTCCAGTCTCCTCAAGGCGACGTTTTGCTGCTACAATTTTACTATAGTACGCTATAGCGTACAATTTTCGACACTCAATATGAACGTTCACAGAATTCAAAGTATTTAGGTAGTTTATGTTTATATCTCTCAATAATTGCTCCTTTTAAAGTCTTTATACCGCGCACGAAAGTCACAGAATCACCTTCAAAAAGTAACTTATTACAAATAAAACACAAATCATTACGAATATTACCTGTCACAACCCTAGACCTATACCTAGGGTCACAACTTGCTTTAAAATTTAATATAGGTATACCTAACCTTTTTATTTATAGCATAGCCCCTAATACAATATTTCCAGGTCTGTTATTTTAAAAGCAATATCTGGATCCAAGAGATGACCAGATACATACTTAAGGCAAATTCATTTAATGTCTTTTCTTCTTCAATAATTAGAATAACATTAGAATATATTTAGAATGATTCACTTCATTATTTAATTATTTGTATCTCAAAAGTAAGTAATATTTAATGACTATTTGTTTTAAAAAAATATATAAAAATAAATATAAGGTATTTAATTGTTATTTAAGTAATATTTAATAAATAATTAATTAAAAAAACGGTATAATAGATTGGTATTCATGATTTACCTTGCGCTAAAGGTACGTACGCTGAGCGCTCCACACTCTGCGCGCTCTATCTCAAAAACGATTAGACGTATAAAAAAATGTTTTAAACAAAATTTGTAGAGAATTTTATTCTCTACAACTTGTATAATAAATGCAAATACGATATGAGGCAGAGAAAAGGAGATATTCTCAAAAAATTGATTTTTGCGACCTTTGACCTTGAATATCTAAGGTCGCTCACATGTTGGCATATGTGACTTTTGAGACAACATTTGCAATGCTAAAATATAGGTTTGTACAAAAATTCAGCTTATTCCGTTAGATTCCGAGGTGAAATGCCTATATGACTGGACTAGTGCGTTTAATGAAATGTTGTAAAAATACATTACAAGAAAATATTGCAAGAAATATTAGCGTTTGGTTTTCGACTTTTACATGTAGGTACTGTTATCCTTTATTATTGCTTAGCTGTGTTGTGAATGTTGACAAAAATTTATATGTCACTCTTACATGTATCATCGATTTCTTATTGTCATGTTAAAATATATGCGTTAAATATATCTCCTATTTTTTTAATGTATGCATATCTTATAACGTAACATAATTTAATTTCTCAAATGCACTTAAGCCCTGCGAAGTTTTGCAATACCAAAATTATCAATCTGTCATTTTCGTCTAGAAGATCTGGCAACATTTACTTATTAAAATGTCAAATAAAATAGCATAAATTAGTGAAACTTCTAAACACTAAAATATACATTTTAAATTGTATACATATTACTTCTTTCTCTTTAAATCCTTTTTCTATTTTGTTGCAAATTTAAATAATATCGTTAAATCGGCCGTTTAGAATAGTCTCTCCTGTCGTGTGGATTTACAAGAACTCGATAGTAAAACGCTTCATGTCTTTTTATATAAAGTAGTGGACAAAAGAGAAGCGGACATACAAAGTTGATGTGCAAGGTGCAGAGCCAGTGGCTCGTTGATAATTTCACTCGATTGTCGAAGGGAAACCACTTTGTAAATGCAGTAAGAATCTTTAAAGGTAAATCTTAAAGAAGTACAGAGTTACTTTATTTCTAGGCGTCCTGTTTCACGTATTTTTTTTATTTTGAATTTGTCATAATATTTTTAAATTTACCCCACTGTGCAAATTTGTTCTACCATCTGTTAAATCCATCCTACTGTGCGAGTTTGTCCTACCTGCAGGTAACTGTGATTTGTACTTTGGATGCTATGTCTAGATGGCGATGTGAAAATGCACTGTTTGGTGATACTTTTGCTACCTCATGCTCTCCTGATATTTAAATACGCACAATAAGATCTCTTTTCGCGCATACTAAAAATCACTACAACACTGCACAGAATCTAACGGCGGCCATTTTTTTGTTGTTTACAATTCTTGTGCTTTGGCTTTGTACTGTTTATACAGATTAAAAAACAGAGGTTTTGTATGCAACCAATGAGGCCTTAAAGTGCTGATAATAACCATTTTAATCCTCTTTTGTATAAAATAAACCGTATTCTATCAGGGCTGTCATCAAACTGTCAAATTTAAATTTGTGGGTTATGTTAACCTTTCTTATTTATCAGCCTACTTTTGATTAAAATATGATTAAATTTTTTAAATGTCTGTAACTTTTAAGAAAAAAATGTTTAGTTACTCTTTACCCAAAGTTTGTCATGGAGCTTGTATACGGTGTGCCTGAACGAAGTTTAAGTCACATAAAAATGCCGCCAAAAACTAATTGCAGTTTCTTGTTCGGGACCCTTTGGTGACTTAAAAATGATATTTACCAAAATCCTAGCTGCTCCTCTTTTCGAATTTTTTTGAAAATTTATGATTTTTTTTTTAATTTTAGTTTATTTCAAAGTCTACCTTTGACAGAGTTCACATTTGTACACCGATTTTTATAAAATTAGAGTATATTATTAAGGAGACTTAAAGAATACTTTTTAATACTGTTCACATCATTTGATATATATAGGGTGAGCCAAAAATCGCTTATTTTTGATAAAGCAAAAGCGTAATTTCATGATTTTGGCATAACACTCAAAAAAGATTTATCCCCATTTTTTTTTAGATATTTCTACGTTTATCAGGTTACAAAATGGCATTCTTATTTACCTATAAAAAAATAGATTTTTAATAAAATTAAATAAAATAACGCTTAGAGAATATTTAAAATGTTGTTTAATTTAGGCTTTTTAGTAGTTCGGCACTCTTTGGAGATTTAAAAACGATATTTACCAAAATTCTAACTGCTTTTTTTCAAATTTGTTAAAAAATCATTTTTTTTTAATTATTTGTTTATCGCAAAATCTACCTTTTTTAATTTTTGTTTATCTTACCTTTGACAGAGTACCCATTTGGACACCGATTTTTATAATATTGGAGTATATTGTTAACGAGACTTGGAGAATACTGTTTTCATACTGAGCACATCATTAGATTTATACAGGGTTAGCCAAAAATCACTTTTTTTAGTAAAAAGCATAATGCACAAAAAGATTTATCTCCAAAAAATGTTATTTTATTCAATTTTATTTAAAATCAATTTTTCTTATAAAGTCTTAATAAGAATCCCATTTTGTAGCCTGATAAACATAAAAATATTTAAAAAAACATGGGTTGGTATAGGTATATCTTTTTTCCGTGTTATGACAAAATCATGAATTTACGATTTGCCTTTATTAAAAGAAGCGATTTTTGGCTAACCCTGTATATATTAAATGAAGTGCACTCAGAGAAATATCATGTCATGAAAAGCATATGAAATGATATTAATTTAAATAATCGGGTAAATTTGATTCAAATAGAAAAAAATGTAGTTTTATATTTATTTACCAACAGTTTTACAATGTTTTTAAACACTTTTAAAGTGTACTATATTTAAAATATATATACAAAAAGAAATCTATTTATTTCATTGCCTTTCTCAACGTTATTTTAAAAATATATGTATTATACAATTGTTATACACCTTTTAATTTAATGAGAAACACCAATGACGCCAAAACATATTTGAATCCCTTTGAATTATTATCGTTTTGAATGATTCTACAACATTTTTTCTCTCAGTGTGCACAATATACTCCAATATTAAAAAAATCGGTGTACAAATGTGTACTCTGTCAAAGGTAGACTTTAAGATAAACAAAAATTTAAAAAAAAAACATGAATTGTCAAAAAATTTCGAAAAGAGGAGCAGCTAGGATTTTGGAAAATATCATTTTTAAGTCACCAAAGGGTCCCGAACAAGAAACTGCAATCAGTTTTTGGCGACAAATAAATACTACTACTGAAATATTTTTGGATAACAGAACTGGCTTAACCCATTTATATGTTAATTATAGACAAAATAAGTTTAAATTAAAATTTTTATTTTTGAAATATTGCATCTTTCTATTCAGATTATGATAAGATTAAAAAAGAGTAAAATTTATTAAGTATTATTCATTTTAACCCTCAAAACAAATTACGCAAAGGCACGCTATTTGTTCTTTAAATTACCCACGTTTTATTACCAACGAAATGTTTCCTTCCCTTGTAATTTACAGACAAATTGTACCTTTATTAAATAGTTCAACGTTAAAGTAGTAATTTATAATTTAATTAATGGTATTTACAGACTTTACTACTAAAAAAATAAATCCATTTTTGTGTAACTAATTTTGTCCCCCAAACTCACCCGATTTGCCTGCAGATCCGCAACCTTGGTTACGGCGGTAAAACGTGTTTGGACTCGCCGGCGCGCCGCAGCGACATGCACAAACCTGCCGGATTGTACCCGTGCCACCTTCAAGGAGGAAACCAGGTAATTTTTTTAACTTTGATTAACATTTTTAATTTCTCTTACAGATATCGACGTTTGACCGCAAAATGTGCCTGGATTCGCCCTGTAAACCCGAAGATTTCCACAAACCTATGGGCCTGTGGCCCTGCCACAGCCAGGGTGGTAATCAGGTAAAATTTTCGATCAAAGACTTTTTGGCCCTTGGACAAAATTTACTAAATTTATTGGATTGCTACCTGGGTTTGTGGAGCTGGTTCTGGGTTTTTACGATTTTCATGTTTCATTTTATTAACATTTTTTAATAACATTATTTATTTAGCATGGCAAAATTTAACAATTTACAACATACTTTACTAAAGGAACTCAAAACGGTTTGGATTTTTCAGTAAAAAATTACTTTTTTTATACATTTTTGTAAATATTTGATTTTTCTGTACATATTTTCTTCACAGGTCTTAATTAAAAATAATATTTAAAACTAACAAATAATATATTACATGAATAATTTAGATAAAAATTTACATATTTTAAAAAACTTTACACATTTATATATTAAAAAACAATTTTAAAATTGTAACTTCAGGGCCCAAACTAAGTAAAAATGTCATTAGTTTTTCTCTAGGATTTCTAGGATTTAAAATAATTTCGTAATAAAATGCTCTGTTCAATCACCTCAAACAAGTTTTTTGCTGGTATTTTTATTATTTATTAAATTATTTTGGCTTAAATTTATCTTGAATGTACTAAAGTTATTGGTATACAGCAAATAGATCATATTTATCTTAACAATATGACATTTTAAATACTAAAACTAAAATTTAAATGTATTTTATGTAAAAAAAACCACCATTATTTGACATTTTTTGTCGTTTATTTTAATTATTAAATTGAAAGAGCAACAATGTAAACAAGTTTCAGTATATTTTATCCAAATTAAACCCTCAAAATTTAATGCATTGCATAATTTTACTTTTTTCTACCTTAAATTTATTAAATCTTATCAAATATAAAATTGGATTATAGTATTATTGTGCTTAATCCTCATCATCATCGTACATCTTTTGCCATAGACAAGGGATTGGTTGGGTGGGCAAATTCTTTCCGCTATACCCATAGATATCTACCAATGATCTAGATTTGTACTTGGTGAAATAGTTCTCCATGTTCATCAGTTCGGCAAATTTATCAGGATGAAAAAAAAAGAAAAGTATTTTAAATGACATATTAACGCTAATTCTTTGCAAAACGGAAAGCATTTTTTCAATGAATTGGCGCCAATTTTAGGCCCGATATAACATTTTCAATTACAGCTTTAACACTGCCATATACGACAAGCTCGTCAACTTTGAGAGCATTTTTGAATGCTTGATTTTTCATTAAATGTCGTATATCAGGTCCATTTAATATTCCTGCAAAATTAAAGTAGTAGGTATATCTCATAAAATTTTGTAATGAAATATTGCGTTGGTTTTTCTTGGGCGTAAAGGTACCACAACAAAAAGAAAACAAATTTACAACGACGACATAAATGTTCATCTCCTTTCTCTTTCTCCGCTACCACTTTTTCCTGCTCTTTGTTCTTTTTGGTTCTTAAAATCACTTTCAAGTAAAAATACAATTTAAAGTTTAAATTTTAAATGTCAAAAATTAATAGAGGCACTTTAATGTGCTTGAACGATAAAGTAGGTAAAGGCGCCTTTATACTTCAATTCGATATTAAATTTTGATAAGACTTAATAAATATGATTCAAGATTGAATTTTTAGGTACTTTAGGCATGATGTGTATAAAAACATATCAAATAATAGTCGAAGAGTAATGCTTATGCCGAAACCCATTTACTTTGTTGCCTTTTCAATTTAATTATTAATTAAAAAAACGACACAAAAATTTATACCAAAAAAAAACCATTATAATTTTAGTTTTGGTATTTACGTAAAGCAGAAAAGTGCTTTATTAAATATCCCTTATAAAATACTACTATAGTATACGGCTACAATGCAACAAACAAAATTTCTATTTGACATTTATCTACCGATGACTTTGTATGGAGTCCCTGTATAATTTTGACAAAAAACTAGATTTAAGGCAAAATAATTTAATAAATAATCAAAATATTAACAAAAACTTACATTTTGAGATAATTGGGAAGAGCATTTTATTACGCAATTATTTCGAATCCTAGACGTCCTGGAGCAAAACGAGTGGCATTTTTGAAATCAGCTGCCCAAAATTAGGTAATATAGGTGGGCGTACTCAATGTTAGTAAATCGAACTATCATAGTGAAATTAATGAAACACAAATTTTCTAAAATTCTTAGGAAAATAAACTCCCTTGTTGGTTATTAAAATGAATTTTAATGTGAAAATTGGGCGATTTTAAGAAATAATAATATTAATATTCTCCTAGTTTTTTTTATAAAATTATGTAAAATTATAGGAATTTGGTCCTTAAATTAAGTAAATTTAATTAAATTATTCATTCAAGTTTGTATCCATCATATAAAAATACATATATGTATATATATATATATATATATATATATATATATATATATATATATATATATATATATATATATATATATATATATATATATATATATATACCTATAGGTATAGAAAACGAAAACGAAAAAATAAAACAAAGTGCTGCACCCATAGCCCCCCTGTACCCGCGCCTGTAATAATTATCGATTAAATAAAACAAAACACGAATTTAATTAAATTGTCCAAAATAGGTTTCACATCAGCCATGTACATTGTACATAGTCCAAGCGCACATGTGTTTTTAACTTAATAAAAATGAAATTCCAATAAAAAATTAATGTTTGAAATTATTTAATATAATAAAACTCTCTATAAAACTTGCCATTTAAGGAAGATATTAAGATCAAATTAACTTAAAACACGTAGTTTTATTTCGCATTATTTCTTCCTGTACACAGGATACCATCAAACTTGCGATCGATTTTTCCTACTATCAAAATATTTAATAATATCAATTTTTACGAGCGGCAGTTTATGCCGAATACATATTAAAATTTAATTTTTCACCGGAAAGCATTAAATTTGCTCGGGCAGAGCGAACGTTCTTCTTTAACATTTAATCATGTTAACTTTAAAGCCGTATACGGCTATAGACTCAGAGTGCAGTTAAAAATGTTTAGTTGACATGCTGCTTTGCATTTTTTCTTTATGCATCGCAGGTGCCTCTGCCTTGAATCCAAAGTTTACTACTACGTTACGTGAATTGATAATGCTTTCGCGGAAAAACTCATTTTTTCTGTGGGAAGTCTCAACAATAGTATTGTACCTGATTAAAAAATCGAATATTTTTAAAATGTATATGATCCTGTTAAAATTTAAGCTTTTAATATTAATATTGTTTTAAGGGGTAGTGATTTTTTATTTCCCATTTAAATAATAAGATATTTTTAAACTATACAATTTTATTACTCGTAACGGGGTCGTGTACTGATAAGATCAAGATAAATTTTTGTAGGAAATTGAACGTTCTACAAAAAAAGTATTTTTATCGTTTTACGATAAATTTACTTTTTTAAAAGTTATTCAAGTTAAATTTATAGTTAATATCAGTATTTTCCCACTTTTTTCGTGAATCTATCAAACTTATCGCAAAAATTCAAACGAAACTTTTTGTGAAAAGTTTCATTTCCCGTAAATTATTTCCTACAAAGTTTTTAAAATTCTTAAAGGATCTATAGTTATTTGCATTTCCCAAGCAGCATTTTAAGTAAAATAGTTAAGGATGTATTACTTAATTTAAGTAAAGTAAAGTTTTTAGGTTAAGTAACCTAAAAACTGTCATTACAGTAAAAAAAATAATTTATATAACAAGTTTTTATTATGAATTTTTTACTTTATTTAATTACTAGAAAGTTTCACAACTGAAATATTTAAATAATTTTTATTTAACGTAATTTGTACGAAAGAAAATTACTTATAGGTTATTTTAATTCAAAGGTAAATTTAAGGTAAATATTTTCACTCTAAACTAAATTTTACTTATAGGTCATATTTTTACAATTAAAACCACTTTATAACCGTAAATATTTTTTTTGGAAACTGTTTAATTTTAAAGTGGTATACAAAATTATGAATAATGACTTACAAGAAAAAATTAATTTTAAGTAAAAAATAAAACTTAAAGGGTACCTACCTAATATTTCTGAAAGACTCCATATTAAATTATTAAAGGCGTCATCCAATATTTGACAAAAAATGTTTTTAGATTTTTGTACATGTTATATACAGGGTGTTTTACGTTCGTGGCCCATTTAAAGTTTTTATAGGGAAAGATAAAAGATATTAATTTGAAATTTGTAAAGCAGTTATAATCCAATGAAGCCTATTTTTCTAAAATATTTTAAACAAAATTTTACTTCCGGTTTGACCGGAAGTGACATCAACTTTGTTATTTCATGTATTACACCCCATATATTTTTACATTTTTAAATTCTGCATAAAATTCTATGTATAATTACTATACCATGTCCTATAAGTATCTAAAGTGAATAGTTTTCGAGTCAATCAAAAATAGCCTATTACTTTTTTGCTATTAGGTTTGCGGAAATGGAGGTGGAATTTTTAAAATCCTAAAACATTTTTAAAATATTTCTATTAATTCTTTACCATTTTTCAACAAATTACCCAAGAGAACCCAGAGCAAATTAGGGTAACTTGAAACGTTTAAAACTGTTTATTTTAAGTGTTACACCCTGTATGTTTTTGCATAATATAAGTAATAGAAAATTAAAAAACATTGCTATTAATGTAACTATTCCCCATACATAAATTTAATAATTTCGGAGAATTTTAACAATTTCTAATATTAGACCCAGAATAGTCAAGAAGAACAACGTCTAATGTAGAAGTTAAGAAATGCTAAGAAAAATTGTTAATTAAAATATTGTTGGTTTATTAAATTGTTACAGTTCTTTTTGTTATTAAAATATTTTATTAGTTTTATATTTTATTGTCTCCAATAAGCAAGTGCTTTATCTAGTTGACATCCTGCAGCTTTGTGGATTTTTTTTCAAAATTAGCAAATACTGTTTGTATTAAATTTGAAAAATGACAGATTAAGAGTAACCGTCAACTCACCCGTCACAGGTTTCTTGATACAAAATAATATTTAAAATTTCAGA